CCTTACTGATGTTGACTAACTGGTGACCTGTCGGCGTCTTTTTCTACTCTGCCTCCGAGGCTACCTGTCGTTCTTCGCCTCCCATAGTTGTTATGTGCGTTCTTTTTTCTGCTTAGTACTCCGCTATCTCCCTCAATTTCCTTTGTTTCAGTGAACAGGGCAGTGCATCTACCTCCCCAGTCTTTCTTGACCCCTGCGTACAACTTCATGAGCTCTTTCGAATGTTGGAGCAGGAAGGGACCAACCTGTCCAACGATATTGATGTAATTTCGCCGGCCTTATATTAGTCATTGCAAGTGGTTTCTTTTGAACTGCAAGTGAGTTTTTGGTTTTCTTGCACTTTACACTTTTTGCTGTTCTACTTTCCGTTTTTTTCTGCAGAACCTCTACGCTTCTCCTGCTCTAACTTTCGCCCATCGAAATCCTGAGGTCACAGAAGTCTATCGAGTAAGTTTTTTCTAAGCCAAATCATCCGATTCACATCACCTTTTTGACAGGAGAAAGTTGGCGTTGTGTTCCGATAGTCCTCTAATTTCCATAGTCTACCGTTGTAATTATTGACTGTCTTCCAACATATTCACGCTGGTTTGTTTTTGCCTCACATACCATACATAAGGAAGATGCTAACAAGCTTTTCCCGCTATAACAAAGTGTGCGCTTGGATCATCTATACTATCAAAAGTACTCTTTGACGTCAAAATTTGACGAACTGCCACCTTATCCATGGAGTGATTGACCCTCCGCGGTAATGCTAGTCCATTTAAATGCCTATTCGCTGTCTACTGAGCACTTTTCAATTACCTCCGTCCAACGTCCAGCGATTACCGGCGACCCAAAGAACCTGTAGCACTCTCAACGGCCACATCCCGGAAGCCGCCTCAACTCCCTTTCCGAAGCATTTGAGAGCAACTGCCGACGACTTTCCTCTCGAATGTAACCAAACTACTGTGTGAATTCTGATTCGTTTAAAGTAGGCGAATCAACCACGCGCTGTGTCGCGACAAGCTTACGGCGAGGTCTGCTAGCCCTGCTTTACGTCTCGTCATGCTGACTCCGTCTTGGCACTTGATGGCGACTGGCCGGTAAGGCTATGGTTTGGGCTCACGAACTCCACCTTGATATACCAATTTCATGAGCTGTTCATCGTCCCCGACGAAATAGCCCTCCAATGGCACGTTTGACGTATTATCGCGCAGTTTACAGTTTATAAAAAGGGAGATTGGTTGAGCGGCAGAATCGCATGTGTGGACTTCCAAACTCGTGCAGAAGCCCGCCCTCTAGCCTCGCTCTAATGATATAACGTTGAATCAGAGTACCCTTCCTTGAGGCCTCCGGCGTCTTGTGAGAACTTTGCATACTTTGGGGTAAATATTTTGGACATGCTTAAATTATCCTGTCATCTGGTGCTCTGCAGCTGCTAGACTTAACTGCAGTTTCTTGTTTTTTTTTGAGAAAAAAAGTGGATTACGTGTTCTTCTTCGCGTTTTAGAATCTGCTGATTTTGAAAGCCACCAGTCAGGCTGCAATAAAGTCCCTGAGGAAATGTTTGACTAGTATCCAGTCTAGCGGCTTAAATGTTGCAGCAACTGACGTAAGTTACTTTTACTTTTCAACCTGTCCCCCAAAGTCTGTCGTAAAAGTGGTTCCAAATGCCTCAAAACAGGCCCAGCCTATGGTATAAAAATAAAGGGGCCCATAGCCCACACATGAT